AATAATTCAGATGCATTTTAAGAAGGTTTAAGGATTTTAATGAGTCCAAAATTTGAAGAATTGTATAATATCAGGTTTGAATTTTCGAATTTCTGGTATGACCTTGGACGACCCTTATGTTGTTTTTTTACATCTGTCCCTCTTTGATGCTATTTATGGTTTTATGGTATGGAACTAAGATGCTCAATATAATTTAGATGAATTTTGAGAAGGTTTTAGGATTCTAACAAGTTCAAAATTTGAAGAATTGCACAATATCAGGTCTGAATTTACAAATTTTAGGTAAGACCTTCGATGAGCCTTATATTTTTTACATCTGTCCCTCTTTGATGATATGTATGGTTTTGTAGTGTGGAACTAAGTTGTAAAAATAATTCAGATGCACTTTAAGAAGGTTTAAGGATTTTAACAATTTGAAGAATTGTACAATATCAGGTCTGCAATTAATGAATTTCAAGTATAACCTTGGTTGGCCCATATGTTTTTTCCACCTATCACTTTTTCATGATATATTTGGTTTAGTAGTGTGGAAATGTGATAAACATAATTTAGATGGGTTTTAAAGAAGCTTAACGTTTTAAACAAGTTCAAAATCTTGGCGTATTGTACAATATCAGATCTGAAATGAAGAATTTAAAGTATAACCTTGCTTGGCCCGTATATTTTTATTTTAACATCTATCCCTTTTTGATGATATGGTTTAGTAGTGTGGAGCTAATATGTAAAACATAATTAAGATGGGTTTTAAATAAGTTTAAGGTTTTAAACAAGTTCAAATTTTGATGAATTGTACAATATCAGAGCTGATATTAATGAATTTTGGATATTACCTTCTTAGGCGAGCCTTGTTTTTTACATCTATCCCTTTTTGATGACATATATGATTTAGTAGTGTTGAACTAAGATGTTAAACATAATTTAGACAGATTTTAAAGAAGTTTAAGGTTTTAAACAAGTTCAAAATCTTGGCGTATTGTACAATATCAGATCTGAAATTAAGAATTTAAAGTATAACCTTGCTTGGCCCGTATATTTTTATTTTAACATATATCCCTTTTTGATGATATGGTTTAGTATAGTAGTGTGGAGCTAATATGTAAAACATAATTAAGATGGGTTTTAGATAGGTTTAAGGTTTTAAACAAGTTCAAATTTTGATGAATTGAATTCAGAGCTGATATTAATGAATTTTGGATATTACCTTCTTGGACGAGCCTTGTTTTTTACATCTATCCCTTTTTGATGACATGTATGGTTTAGTAGTGTTGAACTAAGATGTTAAACATAATTTAGACAGGTTTTAAAGAAGTTTAAGGTTTTAAACAAGTTTAAAATTTGAAGAATTGTACGATAACAGGTCTGGAATTTATTAATTTTAGGTATAGCTGTGGATGGCCCTTATTCCCTTTTTACATCTATCCCTCTATGATGATATAATATATGGCTGGTAATATATAGTAGTGGGGAGGTAAACATAATTTAGATGGGTTTTAAGGAGGTTTATGGTTTTAAACCTGTTCAAAACTTGACAAACTGTACAATATCATATCTGACATTAATGAATTTCAGGTATATGTCTCTATGATAATATATATGGTTTAGTAGTATGGAACTAAGATGTAAAACATAATTTAGATGGGTTTTAAGGAAGTTTAAAGGCAGAATCAGATCTATGGGATGACAAAATTACAAGCAACATGTACAATTCATCTACCAATCTATTCCTTACAATCTCAAATACAATTTGGAGTTTTAAGGAGGTTTTTAGGGTTAAACTTCCTTAAAACTCCAAATTCCTAAATTATGTTTTACATTTTAGTCCTATAATACAGAACCATGTAAATCATCAAAGACGTTTAGAATGTAAAGAACATGAGGATCATTCAAAGCTTTATCTGAAATTTGTTAATTTGTTAATTTCAGACCTGATATTGTACAAGTTTTGAACCTCTTTAGAACCCAAAACTTCCTTAAAACCCATCTAAATTATGTTTTGCATCTTAGTTCCATACTTCAATTCCATATATGTTATCATAGACAGATATATGTAAGTAAAAAACATAAGGTTAATCCAAGGCTATACCTGAAAAATAATAATGATGGCACAAGAAAAAACTTGCAAAAAGTAAAGTGGTAGGTCAATTTGACCCCTCCCCCCTGCAGACATTAGGGTTAAACTTCCTTAAAACCCAAAATTCCTAAATTATGTTTTACATTTTAGTCCTATAATACTGTAACCATGTAAATCATCAAAGACGTTTAGAATGTAAAGAATATGAGGATCATTCAAAACTTTACCTGAAATTTGTTAATTTCAGATCTGATATTGTACAATTCGCCAAGATTTTGAACTTGTTTCAAACATTAAGTTTTTTAAAACCCATCCAAATTATGTTATACATATTATTTCTACACTACTAAACCAAATATATCATGAAAAGGGATAGGTGTAAATCCAACCAAGGTTATACTTGAAATGTGTTAGTTGCAGACCTAATATTGTACAATTCTTCAAATTTTGAACTTGCGAAAATCCTTAAACCTTCTTAAAATTCATCTTAATCATTTTTTAAATCTTAGTTTCACACTACAAAACAATACATATCATCAAAGAGGGACGGATGTAAACAATATAAGGCTCATCGAAGGTCTTACCTGAAATTCGTAAATTCAGACCTGATATTGTACAATTCTTCAAATTTTGAACTTGTTAACCTCTTGAATACCAGCCTCTAAAAAGGGTTTGAAACCAGAGGATTTTTCATTTTCTGCTAGTTTTCTGGATATTTACATCTAAAAACACTTTGTTTGATATTTGATTTTATAAGAATAGTAAACATAGACCCATTACATACATTCTAAAACATTAGTTGTGAAGATTGGATAAAAAATGCCAAAGTTAGAGCAGTTTTAGTGAAAAATTCTGTGACAGATATATCTGTCGCTCTGGGTTCCAAATGGATTTTATTTGTGACAGATATATCCGTCATTCTGGGTATT